GACCAGGCACATGCCCGCGCCTGACCATAGGCGAACGCGCTATTTGTCTGCGCCTCCCCACTACCGGTTGTTCTGTAATTCTGACTGCATGTTCGCTGCGCAATCTTGAAATCGACGCGCTGCACCTTAGAATAGCGCCAATGGAGTCGGATGGGGGCACCCGCGTAGCCCTACTCTTCAGCCCCGTACCGGTCCATTGCTGAGCGGAGGAAGGGGTGCGACACTACTGCTGCTGACCTGTTCACCTCGCACCTGGAAGAACCGTCCTCGGAGAAGAGTACACAGTTCCTCGTCGAGGACAGCGCCAGTGATCATTATCTGCAGGTTGTATGGCTGACAGTCATTGGATCATGTAGCAAGTGGGTACTACCGAGAACTCAGACCAAGTTTTTCGCACACGATAAGTGGCTCACCCACCCCGGAGCCCCTCCCTTGGAAAAAGCCCATAACCTGGCTCGCCGAATGTTTCTTGCACATTTCGATGTTTTGGCAGCCGCTATCCTCTACCTGTCTGCGTCACAGGGTTTCGCAACAGGACCATGCACAAAAGTTCAAGATGTCACGTAACCCTGCGCACCGCGCCACTTAGGTAATAAATGGCTTCTGCACATCGGGTAATCGTGAATGCGTCCTTAACTAGTAAACCCCATAACAATCGGGGTGAGAGGGGGTGATCGGGATATAACAGCACTACATTTCTATGACTCATGATGCAGCGCGCCATTCCCAACCACTGCATCGTCTTTATCTCTACGCAGAGTTGGTTTCGTCGCCAATCAGTGACTAGTAAAGCTACCAATGAGCCAATGAAAACACTGAAGCCACACACTCACACTCAAGTCATTCATGTAATTTTCGATCTTGGAGAGCGTCCAGTCTCCGTTGAACGGTAGTTCCACCAGTTCATCGCAGAAGCCAACACACTCCACCTGTAATACTGCAGTTAAATGCAACAAAATGAAGAGAGAATGGTTGATTGGAATTGTTCGATCACTCACTGTCTTTTCGTTCTTTAGACTAATAAGTGAAAGAGCAGCAGACGCAGCTCGGCAAGACAGCATTGTACCAGAGATACGAGCAGTCATGCTTCCTGAAATACAATGATGTTTTGCAGAAGCCAACAGTGTCACAAGCATGGCTACAGCACTCTTCCGATCTGATTAGGCTTTTTTCGTTTCACATATATCACATTTTTGTGCGGTTCTGAAGCGGAGTCGGAGGAGGAACTCAAACTTACGCACTACCGAAGATCGCATCTTTACAAATGAATGTTTCTAAAAACCTGTTGAGTGATTGTGACACACCTGATACGTCAAAAGCAAAGCAAAATCGTTTGTTCGTGGGCGGGGCGTTGAAAAATGACTTGTAGAAAGCATCCTCCAAAGCTTGGTTCAATCTGAAATTAATGGATATTTACAGAATATAATTGCAATTACACAAAAGGAACCTTCTCGTCCTTTTTCCACTCAAGTTTGCCCTTGTCTCCGTGTCCACTCTCGTACACCTTTTTCGCCATCAATACCTGTGAAACAAAGCTTAAATTCGCCTGCTGCTTTTAGTTAGTTTAGTTTGCTTTAAGTATTTCGGGAATTACCTGGATTGGATGGATCTTTGCCCGTTTTAATTCCGCTTCATTGGTGAGCTTAGCAACAACCATATCACGATACGCGCTGGAATATCTTAGCTAGGTGACGAAAAATGTACAAAAACTCAAGAGATAACTCACTCTGTCAAAACATTGATTGACTGCATTTTGCCAAGGTTCCTGATCATAGCGGTCATTGGCATATTCTCTAGAAGGGCTTGCCACACAGCGACTGAGTTGAGCATCTCTGTTGGTAGATGCTCTCGCACCAAATCTAAAAACAAAAGGTCAGAAATCCGTACTAGCACCTTCTGCGCTCTCAAAACGGCTGCTGCTAAGACCTCATGTTAATGCAAATAGTAATGTCTTACGGTGTTTCTTTATTGCCTCAACAACTTTGGCCTCATCCTTCTCGTGTTTCAAAGCCAGAACCGATTCTACGAGATCGAGCGCCCTGCAACGTAAGATAATCTAGTGGTGGATTCGGCTAGGTGAAGGCCTGTAAAATTCCACTGCATTACTCGGCGAGTGGTCAAAATAGCGGACCTGCTCCCGAGCTCAACATCCATTTGAACAGCGCTGTATTTACTTGCCGGTTGTTCGAGCTCTGCGTCCTCCTTTGAGAGATTTCG